AGAGCAGCTGGAACTCGCCAACAGAAACGAAAATTCGGTACGGTACTGGGCTCTTACAGTAATCCGATCCCACGTTAATACGCAAATTTTCACCCATCACATATACTACGCGTTGAAAAGGGGCCTTGGACAACGAAACGGGGATGGGTTCTGGGCAAGCCAGGGGGTTGCAGTAAGAGCCATGTGCCCGCACTGAATTTTCGTTTCCGTTTGTTGTCACGGTCACTGTAACGCGCATTTTATTGGAGAGAAGCAATGTGGGTCCACCACAGTAACGCCGTTGCTCATACCATTAGTGTAGTTCCACCCCTACCGTACATAGAGATTTTACAGATTCTGGTGAGTGGTATAGCATCGAAGTTAAACTGTGCCCTATGCTGCTCTCTGAAAAGTACTCTCAGTAACACCATGAGACGAACTAGGCAACAATAAATTTACTTGAAAGATTTCGTTTTTCAATTGAACCAGATAATCGCTTTTGAGCTAAAATTCTACAAACATTCCCAGATAGCATATGACATGAATCTCACACTCTCGATGAGCTTTTTCGGCGTTGGCACCCTGCTTTTCGATTTTCGAGTTGATCGCGTCGATGCACGATTGATTGCAGCTATAGCAACTGATCCTTCTTTTGTAGCATATGAATCCATAGAAATTAACTTCTGCAAGAGATTTCGTCATCAGGTGCTCACTGTAGAAGTAGGTATAGCACTCACTGCCTGACGTTGAGCACGAAGTAAGAATCGTCCATACTTCAAAGCTATAATTCTGGATAAGCGGCGGATACGGTTCAAGTAAACAATGAACAAGTGTTCATCCAATGAACTAACGTGATGGCCGACCTCTTCTCAAATCACCTACAAACGAGGGTAAGCGTCAGAAGTAAGGCCTCGTAAGGTAACCCCTACTTTCTACATCTGAGTCTCGAAAGAAGAACTTCAAACTAAGGCTCGGTGTTGGTCCAGTGTTTTGCAGAGAAGCCTGCCATCCTGTCTTCTTGCCTTTCCATCACTTCTCAAGGCTTCATTGTCTCGAGAGAACTCAATCTCATCCAATCCCCATCTTTTTTGCCGTGAACTAGCTCTGATACCCGTGCTATAGGCTGTGCTGAGTGAAGAAAAACACATTGGCTCCCAATCCAGTCATGAATTGGGGTACGGACGTTATGCCATGATGTCCAGAAGTACTATGCTGAATTGATGCCTGAAGCCCCTGAACAAGCTCCCATGCGAAAGAGTGGGGAGACAGTTTCGAGTAGAAGGAGGTTTCCTAGGTATAACAACTACTCGTCAGAGGTTCGAGAAAAACCAAATCAGGAAGTTCTTGAGATGCATTTATCTACTTCACTATGGGAAAGTCTTCCCTTATTGCCCGAAATTATGTTGTACCATGGTTACTACCACTGAATATAGTCACTCCCTGCAGATTTTCACAAAAAACAACAACAACAGCGACAGCTCACACATCAGCATAGCAACAAAATGAGAGGCCCGTCATATCTAGGGAACTTTCTCACGCTCTAACCGTAATACCTTCGTTGACTAATATTGTGCAAATGCTTTTTCTGCCTTGATTCTGCAGATATGAGAGAGTCGACAACTGGCTGCACACGATATAGAGCATGACTAGAGCGTACGTTGCCTTACTAGCCTCCGCTCACATTCTGCGAAACCAGATGCAACCTCAAGAGTTCGACGATTCCGCTTTTTCAAAAGCTCCCTCAGTCTACCTACTTTTTTTGTTGTGGGGGATCCATATTGTTGCAGACGTTGCTGACAAAGTTGACAAGCCATCCCATTTTTCTTGAAATGCTGCTGTTGCGAACCCCATAGTCTTCGATCCGAATTTGGCCTCACTTGAAGTCGGGTATACAAGTGGCTCGTATGTAGTTTAGAACAAACGGGATAAGTACGGCACTGACAAATAATAAATTTCCTTGAATAAAAGCACTGCAGAAAGGATCATATGAGCCTAACTTGTTTTTGGCTTGCCACAAGAGGCATGGCAAGAAAAATCACCAAAATTTCAAAAAAACATTTATTCGATTTTCACTCATATTTTTGAATGCAGAAGCAATATATCATTGCTGGTAAAAGATCGGGAAAAAAATCATTGGTCGTTCATGGGAGGCTGTAGGACCAACAATCATGGATCGACACTCGATATCCATACATGTGAAAAGGGGTATGGTGCAGTAGGAACGAAATCGTTGCATCGCGGCAAGAGAGACGCCGCGCGCGAAGGAATGTAGCAGAATGCAGCAGCATGTAAGAAATTCAGAAATAAAAAAACTAACAGTAGAATCATGCAAAAAGTAATAATCGCATAGCTACTGAGCTGTATGAAGAACGCTAGAACAGTTATAATGGGGCAAGTGGTCCGCGATAGCCGCGTGCGGCGGATGAATTACACAAAACCGTTCCTACTGCCCGTCTTCCCAGGAAAAGCCTATAGAATATGAGGACAAAGCAAAAAATGTGAATGTGCAAGACGATGTTTCCGGAAGGCTGTGGTTTGGTTTGAGTTACAGATGGAGTTTGTCTATAACATATGAGTAGCTGTTTCTCAGCAAACCATCGAATACTTCATTTCCTAGCAAATGAATAACCTTCACACCACAAAGTACTCACTCAACAGGCACATTCAATGATTCTCTCAGGCATGGGATTTTGGTATCGAAAAAATCTTCGTGGATGTCATTGTGGTCCTGCTTGCGGGATCGACACGTAAAATACAGCTTTTCGCCAAATTCCGCATATCACGATTGAGAGCCACATAAATAATGGCATTACATGCACCTGAATTGGGAATATCCATTGGTTTCCAGCAAATCAACTATCCATCTGAAAAGGGTACCTGCGCAAAGCAAGCCAACAATATAGAAAGGGCCAATTCTCTTGAATATCGAATAGCCGAGCATTTCAACAAAGCCGACTCCAACACTTGGAATGGTTACGAAGATCATTGATGACAAAAGAATTCCTGCTGTTGATCGATTAGCCTGGAAGTAATTTAGCATAGTCAAAAATAAACATGATTTTTAACCTATTTAAGGCCACGGTTCACGTAATTTTGGTGTGTATGGTTCAAGACGAATAAGGGAAGTGCTATCCTAGAATAAGGCAAAAAGATGGAATTGATGATTGGTGGATAATGTGACAACAGAAACTGCATGGAAGGGGTGTTTGGACGAGCTGTCCAAATCTATATACCGTTGCGTACAGCTGGCTACAGTAAGCTGCCTGCGTGCAACATGCCCGTCCCGGTGCGAATGGTACGACCTATAGAGCCCCTACAACGCAGTGAGTACTCGTTCATCTTCAACTGCGTACAACGACTCAGTCGGTTTCGGGGCCCTATTACGTCCTATCTAGGCCGCCTTTCGACCCGACAGCGTCCCTTATGCTATCCCTGGAGTCACGGGTCCATTCTGGGGAGGAACTACAGGAAAATCTCATGATGAATTACTGTCTATGTGAAAAACGT